TTGTTTTGCTGGAGAACACCCTCAAATGTGTTTTAAAGGGCATGTAAAAGGTAAACTTTCTAGATCCTTTTGTGATGGAAAATGTCTTCATTGTACCCTTGCATTTAATCAATACCCTGACTAAGTATAGAAGCCTAGGATAAAATTAACTTTTCCTCTGGGAGTTGAAGGTGTTTCTCCATACTCTTTTAGCACTAATGTTTTTGAGAAGCCTGATGCCATGCTGATTTTTATGTTTCTGTAAGTGACCTGTCTTTTCTCTCAAAGGGCATTTAAAATCTTCTTTGCATCCCTGTGCTTTGAAATTTCACAATAATGTGTGATTTGAGCAGAGCCAGACAGGGATTAAAGTTTGATTGGCAGAAAAGAGAGGGAATGTTCCCCAGGGCAATGAGGGACACAAAGGTACAGAGGTGGGAAACAAGGAGCCTTGGGAAATCTGAGTGGGCTACCAAAGCCTTGTCTTGCACTTACCAACTTGAGTTGTGTAATGCAGGTTACAGAACCTGTGTAAGTTTTTGTCCTATATTGTAAATTAAGGATGTTGATATCTACCTCCCAGGGTTGGTAAGAGAATAAAGTTAGATAATATAAAAATAAAATAATGGAAAAATTATTCTTTTGGAAGCAGGTATGAGAACTACTTGAAGAGAGAACAGCTCCACCTCTGTTTTACTCTTATCAGAATGCTTTGATAAGCCCTTAGGTGGGTATAGGGGCCGAACATTGAGCAGGGTGTTCAGATAACCTGAGGAAGAGAAACACTACCCTTAACAATAAAGGGTAGTGGGAATACCCAGTGCTGGGGAACAGGGAGCTAGGAAAGAAAATACCAATGAGTTGGGCCAAACCTGCCTGGAACATGAGTCAGGGAATCTCTTCCCTTGATTTTAGTTGGGCTGAAGAACGTCTTTGGAGACCACAGAAGTGTCTAATGGGAATAGACACTGTCTGATGTGAGACATAAACCCTCTCTCCAATTTCTTTTATGAAATTATACTTCAATTCCACACTCTTTGATAATGATACTTTTATGGGAGTAGACTTTTGTTGAGGGCAACTCAAAGAAATGGATGAAACAGGTAGCATCTGAATAATGTGTAAAGCACTTAGCAACATGGTAAGCAGCAGTAAGGGCCAAAGCTTGTTACTTTTTATTTCTGTTATTATTCTTAATATTACAATCATGAGGTGGGAGTTATGCAACCCTGACGATGTACTAGAAACAAGAAAGCTGCCTTATAATCCTTGATCTGGTTTATCCGTGTACATCTTTATTTCATATTGACTAATTATAAAACTGAAATCAAGTGTTTTCATGTTCACATTCTTTGATGTGCTCAATCTTAATTTGAAATAAGAAAATGGAATTAGAAAGAGTCAAAGGACTGAAGTGCCTCTCTTCTGCCACTGTTGCTTCCCAAGGGAGTAGGTGACATGTAGAAATGGAGATTTTGTATGTGGGCACCATTCCGTTACTCACAATATTTGTCTTGAATTTTCAAGCAATACTTTTCTAACTTCATGCAGCCATTCAGCTTCTAGAAGCCCCATCATCAGCATTGCTTATGTTTTCTTAAAGTTCTCTCTCATTTATAATCTCAGATTCTCTTCCGAGCTCAATAATCAAAACCAAGGTGCAAAATGCCTTGCTCATAGCTGGCGCCTGATAAATGTTTGATGTAAAACTAAGAAGTAACTACCTGAATCTTAAAAGATGGAAGCCCTCAAAGACAGCCTGATGATCGGTCCACGTCTTCAGATTGCTGAAATTTAACACATTCTAAAGTCTTTGGAATCTGCTCCTTACTCATTGTTGTTTTTCTAGTAGATAGCAGGTTCTCCAAAAAAATACAGGAGTGTGGAATATATACAAAACAGGCAGCTGAGTCATTATTCCAGCCCTGGTGAGGCCCCCTTAACCAGCCCTCTCCTCCATCCATGGGCCATCTGAACCTGATGCTACACTTAAGTCTCTACAGGCTTCTGCAGGCTACACCTGAACTTTGTGTGATGACACAGCAACAGTTCACCTGGACTGAAATTATTCTCATTCTTAATGAAGTAGTTTTTGCTTCTGCCCAAATATAAAAGACATGTAATTTTACAATGAAATAGCATATGCCAAGAGCCTAGACACATAATAGACATTTATGTCTATTTTACGAATGCTAGTTTCCTCCATGTTACCTCTCCCGACTAAGAGGAAAACATAGCCAATTGTTTCTCATTTCCATAAACAACAGGCCAAAAAAAAAGGGTGGAGATTTAATTTTTACAGAAATAATGTTAGATGAAAGGAAGAGTTGTGTACTTTGACCATAGGACTGACTCAACAACAAAGGACACAGGTTATAGATAACTTTAAAAATAGGACTGGCCATTATCCTGCTTAGAAACTGGAAACTAGAACTCCCTATTCGTCAGTAGCATGGATTAAGTGTCCCATTGTGTCAAGAGCACTGAATGAGATACTGCGCTATTTTCGAAGGCGGAACAACATGTGATTCCTTTCCAAAAAGGATTGCCAATATAAAGATAGCCATAATCAAACAAAATTCAAATATCTAAAAAACACGAAGAGCAAACAAAATCATACACACAATAATTTGTGATATTTTGGCTATGCCTTGCTATAAATTGGTGCTAACCTTATATAAGTGACTACAGGGATATTTCTTCCATTGATAATAATGATCTTGTTTCCCAGCATGTCCTAATACTATGGTACCCTCTCAAGGAGCTAGTCCAGCAACTGTGAACCAGAAATGTATACCTTCTCACTTCAGCTGCTGATGGTCTGTTGGAAGCTAAGGTCATTATATAAGTAATACGTGATAACTGCTTCCCCAGGAACTTATCTAAAAATGATATTTTTGTGTAAAAAGATTCATGTTTATTTTCAACAGGCATTAAAAAATAGTGCCTTTCTGCTTAGCCTCCTATTTCAGCACCTGTATCATTATTGCATGTGCTTGTTAAATTTCTCTTTCCTACCTGAATATAATTTCTTTTATTTTTATTATTTATTTATTTACTTATTTTTTGGTTAATTCTCACCCAGAGATATTTTTTTTATTGATTTTTTTTTTTTAAGAGGACCTGGAAGGGAAGGGGTAGAGAGAGAGAAAGGAGAAAAACATCAATGTAAGAGAGACACATCGATTGGTTGCCTCCCACGCCCACCCTTACGGGGGCCGGGGACAAACCTACAACCCAGCTACTTGCCCTCGACCAGGAATCGAGCACAAGACCCTTCTGTGTGCAGGCTGAAGTTCTAACCACTGAGCAACACCGGCCAGGGCTGACTATAACTTTGGGGGTACAAAGAATGTGTAATTGTATATTTTTTTTAAGTTACTAAAGTGAAGTATAGGGACTCAATCAATTTTGCGAAATGGATAAATGAATGAATGATGTGGTATTAGATACTATATAAAGCTAACATTCAGAGGGGCTTAAAATCACTAGCATATGGTAATCTAAAGCTGAATTATTAAGAGAAAATCTGACAGAGATCTCTTTGAATCTACATATATAAGTGCATGCTTGCATTTTAACTATATGGCTATCAAATCCCTAGTTCATAAGATAAAAATGAAATAAAATTATATATCCCGAGAGTTAGGAGCTGGTTTAGCCTAGTAGCCTTTTACAGGTGCAATTTATTTTTACAGTTAAGAGAACACTGAGTCTTCCCAGAATAACCTGATTCCAACAGAGTTAAATAAAGTTGTTCATTTTTCCAGGGTTTTGACATATTTCTGTCTTTTGAGACTGTGAAGTAAATCTCTATTTCCCAAAAGCCCCAGTGCCAATTTTAATGATCCTGTCCACGTGACATACATTTTGTGTGTGTATGTTTCATTGCTATCAGTGAATGACAAGTGAAGGATATTCATTTTAACTTGAAAATGTCAGGTATGCTCTTTAAGAGATATATTTTTCAGCTTTTAATAAGGTGGTGTTTCTTTTTGAAAGAAATACTCATCTCTGACGCAGGTGCTGTGCAGGTGACAACTGATATTTAATAAGCGATGGTTCTTATATTAGTCACAGTTCTCTAAAGAAAATGTCTCCGATTGCTTTTGAAAAACTCTTAGCATCACTAGCCCAAAGGCAAGATATGACCTTTTTATTACATAATGATAATAATTTATTATCTTACAATGTATCTTAAAGTCACAGACCAAATGCCACTTTGATAATTGCTTTCAATTAGCTTTGAGCATAGCAGATATTCACAAAATGTCTTCTCTAATTTAGACTTGAATTAGAGAAAATTGCAGACATAATCTACTTTAAGCTTGTCTCATTTAAGGTGGTCCGTAGTGTTACATCAAAGAAATCAAAACGAGTAGCTTTAAAACAGTCTCTCAGTGTTTTAAGCAGGCTTTTCAACATTTGATTCTATTCTATTACCAATTAATTAATGAATTAGAAAAGTAGTTCATCATTCCTGACCTTTTATGCATGTTAACTTGTGACTCGCAATTCTAATGATTGTTTTGAAATTAAGCCTTGCCGTTCGTGTTGAAAGGGAGAAACAATCTGATTAGTAAGATAAATAAGGCTTGCCCAGAGACCAAGTGCTTCTTGATGTTTGGCTCTAGCTGGGATTCTGAATCCTATAATGGTGCATCCTTTCCTGCCTTAAATAAATGATACATAACTAATGGCCCATAAATTATGCTAGATAATCATGTAACCTAAACAAGGGAGTTTGGGGTTATGACTACAAGTGAGGTTAGAGGTAACATGATCACTAAAATGTAATTTCAGTTCATCTTTATGTCCTCTTAGTACCCTGAGCATTGGAATATGATTTAAATGCATATCTTTGTCTCTCTTAAAAATATGTTTTGAAATAATAGAAACTCAGAAACTACATTTTTATCCTTGTGGTGTTTTAGTATTTAATGGAATGTGATTAACCTAACAGAGATTTTCAGAAATTGGTATATCTGGAGATTATCATCTTTCTCTTTTGTTTTTCCCAGATAAAAATTACACACAAGAACCAAGCCCCAATGCTGATGGGCCCTCCTCCAAAAACGGGGTTGTTCTGCTCCCTCGTCAAAAGAACAAGAAACCGGAGCAAGGAATGAGCCCGGGTCGCTTCCTTCTTAGAGATCTAATTCGCATAATTGGGCCGTGGAAAACCTATGCTGGAAAACTTTGAGTCCTTTCAAGTCTCCTACTCATGCAAAATCATGGAATTGGTTTAACAGTTTTTGTTACTGAGTTAATGTGAAACTCATCTATTAGAAAACGTGGCTCAGTTTTTATAGGCATCACTGCATGCAGAAAGCAGAGGTTTACGTGAAGTGATGCTGCATATTTCTGTTGCATGCATTCCCATAGATTTTTGTGTCTCCCACCCATTCATTCCTCCCCCATTTTCCATTTCCTAACCTGTGATTAAAAAAACCTTTTAAACATAAGCAAGGAAATATCACGGAAAATGTGATTCTCAGTGTGATTTCAGTGATCAATAAGCACTGATCAGTAATGCTACAGTGATCAAAATCGCAGATTGCTAGACTTTTCCCTTTTACAGTCAGTGTACCAATAGTCTTTGACCTATGACTTGAGAAGAAACCTTTAAATGAAAGATTTTATTTAGTTGTATGTGATACCTTGCTGTATCTAAATATGTTTTCTTTAACCTCTNGAGAAACCTTTAAATGAAAGATTTTATTAAGTAGTTGTATGTGATACCTTGCTGTATCTAAATATGTTTTCTTTAACCTCTTAATGCTTCTGAGTGGAATTTAAAATATCAGGCATAAAATTGTCTTGTGCTGAAAAATAGAAAGTGGTTTTGTTATTTTGTTTAGTTTTGTTTTTAATTCCAAAAATAAGTGAAAACATGTTACTTGGCAGTAAAGTGTGGTACTATGACACGCCTTATTCCTCTCTGCATGTGAACCTAGATTATTCATAACCACACCAGTAACCAAATAGATGTTTTAAACAATGTGCCTAACAAGCTGTGTTTCCCACCAAAGATCCACAAAAAGATGCCTGAGAGAAATGTTTTCATGCATAATTCATTGCAGAGGAATTGTATGGTTCTTATGATTAATTTTGTGATGACTAAATCTCTGGAAGAGAGTGAATTACCCATTAATTATAATTAAAATTCTCACCTTTCAGAGACAGTAGGCCACACAACACAATCAGAGCTCAATATTATTAACCTAACAGAAGTTATATATAAAAAGCTAATTTCTTGCTTTTTGGGGTCATTTATAAGTATAGGTGTCTATAATTTTTAATGGATCAGCTAAGTACACTGGAAAAAGTAAATAGTTGTATCAGTTCCTTCTTAATATAAATTGATACCTGTAATAATATTGAGCTCACTGAAGCAAACCAGGCATGCAATTAGCCTTCTCACCTACTCCACTCCCATCTCTATGACATTTCAGATATTTATTTGGAAATAACTGTCGAGACTGTTGTTAATATACTCATGGTATTGTTGGATTCTCTGATTGTTTCAAGAAATTATGGAACAGTACTTTTGGTGTTTCATTTAACCTATGATATAAAATGAAACCCTATTCTGAGCAGTTCGGTATTGTTCATTCATATTGACCTGCATCTCATCATTGCATGTTTTATGTTTTCAAACATGCCATAAGGAAAACAAGTGCTTGGAATGCATGATTTATTACTTTCTCTCTCCACTCTGCATTAAAGTACTCATGATTTATCAGTTTTGTTCTTTTATTGATTCATTCATCTTTGAATAACAAATAGCATTTAGTGATTCTGTTGAACACAATCCTGTGCATGGATTTATGGATTTCAAGTAAAATTGCTATAATTTTTGTTCTTTGGTTTGAAAACTCAGCTGAATGCTGTTATATCAAATAGCTACTCTCAAGCAATGTGCTATAATAATGGAAGATTATGTATAACGCATATTCTTTTTGTGTTCCAGGAACAGTAGATGGTAAATATCAATCAACAATAAGCTTAATTGCTTTGAAAATAAAAGCTTTTGAATAAAATTAAGACATAATTTAGCATTCCCAGGAAAATTATTATTACAATTGCAAATGGAGCACAGCAATCACTTTCCCTAGTATAATTTTTTTTTAAATGGTATTTGGCAGAACAGTAATCTACACCAAAAGAAATTTCAAAACAGTAACAAATGCATTGCTGATATAATGTTACATAACACACACATTTGTGTGTGTATCTATGGTTGCAGGTAATACCTATTTCCACATAAACCCACAAAATGTTCTACAATGGTCAGGCAGGCTTTGTGTCAAATACATATTCTGAAGCCACAAATTATCTTATGTTCAGTACAACATACTATTATTTCCTGGCTACTTATAGAGTTGAAAGGCAGCAACAGTTTGTGAATCATTGTTAACAACCTGTGCAGTGGAGAGCTGTCGAGAAGACAGTGGGATGAGACAAATCAAAGAGCCAGCCTGTAAGACTTCAATAATTGAAATAATGCGATGCAGATTTATTTCAATGTAGCTACACAACTATAATTATCGATAATAGTAGTTACAGTTTCAGTCAATTGGGGTTATTGGTATCAATAATAAATATTCAAATAGCAATCAAATTTTACATTTCGCAATCTTTTTTCTAAAGATACTCATGTGCTTGCCCCTCAAGTACCTGACTCCTGGGGTATGGAAAGCAGTTTATAAAATCCCACTTTGAAATTAGAGAAGGCATTCTTCCCTTTTAATGACAGTTTCAAGTGAAGAAAATTTATTTAAAGAAAATCTCTAAACTGAAAGTTCTATGGTATATTAAGATATTGAATAATGAACGTTAGCTTTACAAGATAGAAGTTTTCCTTATGTGTGTGGGGGTGACTGAGTTGTTGGGTCAACCTCTTTCAAATAGAATAGACATAGTGGTATATAGTTTTAAGTAGACAAAGCTCTTAAGTAAAAGTTAACCCTGAGTTTACCAGGGCCAAAGGAAAAGGGAAAAAGAGACATGCACTTTGCTAAGCATTGTCATACACTTAGTTGATAAACAGAGAGATCCCAAAAGACACCTGGATACCCATGCTTCTAACAGGAACCAGAAATTGTAAAGGATGTATTTTTCTACTTAGATGTATATACCATGTGTATTTGATTCAAAAAGCGCATGTCAGCCTATTATGGGAGGGAGAAGATATATGGTAGAAAGAGAAATAAAGAACATTTCAAAAGTTTATATTTTTAAACAGGTTATGTGATTATAACCATAATAAAGCAAAAGGCTCAGATGTTTAGGGTTGTCTACTATAGGCAGAAATTTAAATCCACTGAGAATTAATGAATCACATTTATGGTTCTGCATTTGGTTCATTTTTCCCCCTTTTTTAGGGGGATGGGAAGCAATTGCAATTTTCAAGAAAGAATCTGTTTTGAATCTCAGACTATGTACTACTCAAATGAGACAAAACTTTTAAATGGCTCCATTCATTTTTGTGTCAAAGTTAGTTAGCTGTTTATTAGTTACAAAAAGGAAAAGGTACTTTTCATGGCACACATAACTCCAAATAATTATTCAAATCCAATACATATATCCTAAATTTAAGAAGATCGAGCCTTTATACTATATGTTGAGGATGTAAAATTTAAGTAAACAGAACAAACGGAAACCTGCAAAAGAGCTTTTATTCTGTGAAAGGCAGAAATCACTTCTTAAATCTCCCAGTTCAATTGCATTCTGTTTAAATAAAGTTTGGATAAAATCACATTGGCAGGATTCTCTACATCCTTATTGTGTTTAAAAACATGGTATTCATTTAATTACAGTATCTTATTTTCTCAGAAAGTGTTATATATAGTATTCTGGTTTTTGAAATAAAAATGTTAACCATTAACTGCTCAGATAAGTGTCATTCCTTCCTGCCATTTTGGCCAGATTGTGTCCGTAAATGATCTTGTCAAGCAGTTGAAAGTCTTTCTGGTGAATGTCCAAGGGAGTACCAGCCAGCAACCCTGTCTTTTGTTGGTACGATGGACAGAGTCAGAGTATTTGGGACTGAATTCTGTGTTAAGAGCCAGACCATTCTACTTTGTGGTACTGGGGCCCAAGTTGCCACTGTGAACATTATTCCAGCAATTTCAGAGATTCCGGGAAAACCTGTAAATGGGATGATAGAATCATGGGGACTGAATGACTAGGGCAGGGATTCTGTGAGGACTTATGTAAAATTTTCTGGGTGAAATCAACTTCTAATTTTATTTTGTGTAACAGACTTCAACACATATCTCATGGGCACTGACTAGGCACAAGATATTTTACAAAGGGGCTGCAGCAATTAAAGAATATTTTTTTAATGACATAGCTCTTCTGGAAAAGTATTTCTATGTATTAGAAGAGTTAAGTGAATGGATGGCCATATTACATGATAGGGTAAGGCCAGAACCAAGGTAAGCAAAATGCGATACATATTCAAGTGAGCTAAGATGCTTTGATGGAAAAGATTCGTGAATGCCTCTAAAAAAGACAAATCTGCAGATGGCTTTTCAGGGTAGCAAGGATTTTACGTGGAGAAGTAGCGTGAAGGAACTCCTGAATAAGAGGTGAGTGGGGGCATGGAGATAGAAATCAAGTTCTGGATGCTTCCTTGCCTCATTTCATACAAAGGTTAGAGAATTTATAAATCAGGCATTTGGGTGATGGTTCTTAAACTTATTGGGGAAAGGAGCAAGAGATAAAGAGGGAAGGAAAGGGTAAAGAATGCAGAGAGGGAGGGAGGGAGAACGGAGGCAAATGCCAAAACTAGGGCTGACTAAGAATTCATTTCTCATTCTGGAAGAGAGAGAAAAAGGAAACAATTCCCAGGTGTTCTTGGAATTTCATTAACTGTTTGTTTTTAATCCATTTACTTTCAATATAGTTTTGTATTTGTATTGGTTTCAGGTGTACAGCATATTTTGTTCTTTAGATTCCACATATGAGTAAAATCATAGGGTATTTGTCTTTCTCTGACTGACTGACTTCACCGAGCATAATACTCTCCAGGTCCATCCATGCTGTCGCAAATGATAAAAAAGTGGTGGTACATAAATACAACGGAATATTAATCGGCCATAAAAAAGAATGAAATCTATTAACTTCATTACATTCTTCTGTGAGCTCCTCCCTCCACCCCACCCGCCACGCCTCCCGCTCAAATCACTGTGATCCAGGTTCCATGGTCAACACTCACATTCTGCACTGAAGGCACCTGTTACCTCTGGCATCCGTTCTGACCCATTTTCTTCAGAGAACCTCAGGACCTATAACAGTTGATTGGCGCTCATGGCTGTCGGATCCTAAAGCCTATTGTAATAAGCAACACTTTAACAGGCCTCCCCCCCCCCCC